ATATATACATGCTGGCTATAGAGGAATGTGTTCCATCAGCAGCTTACAAGAGATTCTGGTGGTGGAAGAGATTTCCCTGAAGTCACTAATAAAAAGGCTGCATTGTTAATAACAGAGGTGCTGCCATTGAACTAAATTTTCACTGGCGTCATTAGAAAAATATTCATTGAGCGCTTCTTTGTGTAAGTCATCTTCATAGCAACAACACTTATTTGATGGTCAATTTCACCTAATGTACCTGATTCCTGAAGGGCAGATAAATCCCAATCTCCTCCCCAATTTGTTTAAATGTCAGTGGAAACTTCTTTTGTAACATGTTTTGAGAAACACTGAAGTTTATAATTTTTGTTATTTTTGTTGCTTAGAAAATAACATAGAAGTAGTATTGTCTTCTGTTTGATTTTTGAATGTTTAGAGCAAACCCAGTTTATGTGTGAAGCAGCCAGAAAAGGATGAAAATCTTGCCAGGATTTGATCATGGTGCAGGATTAAGTATTTATAAAACTATGCGCTGCTTGGCAGAGTTGAGGCCGTCTGTCCTTCAGATGAGACAGAAGTGCAATTGCATTGCTGTGTGTGAAGGACATAAACAGAGATATTGCATGCTTGGGAAAGAGAAACTTATCATGAATATTAGGAAAACATTTACTAGGGAAATTTAAGCAGTGGTGAAATTGATTGTTTAAGGTTGCCTTGTAGCTGTTACTATTTCTATAAAACTGCAGCGTGAGTTTTTATCTAAATTGGTAAATGTTTTTGGTGTGGCTAGTGAAAATTATCTATTTTCTGTCTTCCTTTCTTTTCCTTTCCTTTTCCTCTCCTCTCCTGTTCTCCTTATCCTTCTCCTCTCCTCTTTCCTCTCCTCGTCCTCCTCCACTCTCTCCTCCTCCTCCACTCCTTCTTCCTCCTCCTCTCCCTCCTCCTCCTCTCCTCTCCCCTCCTCTCCTCTCTTTTCCTCTCCTCTCCTCTTTCCTCTCTTTCTCCTCTCCCTCCCTGCCCCTCCCCTTCCCTCTCTTCTCTTCTCCTCTTCCTTCTCCTCTCCCTCTCCTCTCCTCTCCTCCTTCTTCTCCTCTCCTTCTTCTCTCCCTCTCCCTCTCCTTTCCTCTCCTCTCCTCTCACCTCTCTTCTTCCTTCTCCTCCTTCCCCTTCTCCTTCTCCTCTCCCTCTCCCTCTCCTCTCCATCTTCCTGTCCCCTCCCTGTCCCCTCCATCTCCCTGTCCTCTCCTCTCACCTCTCCTCTTTTCTCCTCCTTCTCTTCACTTCTCCTTCTCCTCTCCATCTCCTCTCCTCTCTCTCTCCTCCTCCTCTCCCTCTCCTCCTCCTGTCCCTCTCCTCTTCCTCTCCCTCTCCTACTACTATCCCTCTCCTCCTCCTCTCCCTTTCCTATCCTTCTCCTTTCCTCTTCTTCTCCCCTTCCCTCCCCTCTCCTCCCCTCCCCTTTCCTCCCTTCCTCTCCCGTCCCCTCTCCCCTCTCCCACTTCCCTTTCCCCTCTCCCCCTTCCCTCTCCCCTTTCTTCTCTTCTTTCGTTTTTAGAGACAGGGTTTTGCTGTGTTGCCCAGGCTAGATGCAGTGGCTATTCATATCATAGTGCACTACAGCCTCAAACTTCCGGACTCAAGTGATCCACCTGACTCAGCCTCCTGAATATCTGAGGCTACCACTGCATCCAGCAAATTGTCTATTTTCAAACAAGTTTTTGAGTATCTTTAAGCTTCAGAGAATTTTCACCAGCTGGTAATATTATCTACTATTTGCTTTCCTTTCATCATGTGAAGCAAGCCAGATTATCTATCTATCTATCTATCTATCTATCTATCTATCTATCTATCTATCTATCTATCTATGTATCCATCCATCCAATTTTTTTATCCCTTCCTTCTAAAATAAATAAGCCTTCTGGGGACTATCATTATAAGTTTAAATATGATCTATATAGCTCTGCTATAACCATTTAGGACAAAAATGTAGCACTATGATATTAAAACTTTTCCAAGTAGAAGAGAATTTCCTAACCATGGAAATAGCTCATGGATCTTTTTTCATTTGTTTCTAACTTTATTTTCTTCTTCAGGTTCATACTTAGTTGACATAGTTTCTCATATCCATGTAGACATTTAAAAACTATTTGCTCTTTTTTAAAATTTTTCATGGTGGATTCATTGAAGAATTTCTGAGCCTTTACATATTTTTCTAATGTTTTTGTTTGGGAATTACACTTGATTTTTAGTTTAGATGGACATAAAGTCCTTTTATCAAAATTTTTCATCTATAAAGGTATTCTATCTTTTAGCATTCAATGCTGATGATAAGTCTGATGCTGGTCAGATTCTTTTTAGGAATCGTCTTTTCTCTCTGGAAGTACTTGACATTTTCTCCATACTGTTGACATTAGTGTAGTTTCTACAGCTGGCCGTAAATTAGCATAACTGTGTAGCTCAAAACAACAGAAATTTTACCTTCTCATAATTTGGAGACTAGGAGTCTGGAATCAAAGTGTCATCAGCACCATGCTCTCTCTGAAGGCTCCAGGGAAGAATTCATTCCATGCCTTTCTCTTAGCTTCTGGGGTTTGCTAACAGTCTTTGGCATTCTTTGGCTTGCAGCTGCATAAATCCAGTCTCTGCCTCCATCTTCACATTGTGTGTGTCCCTCAGGTATTTTTCTGTGTCTCTCCTTCCCTTCTTATAAGGACACCAGTTGAATTGGATTGGGGCCCACGGTGATTCAGTATGACCTCAACTTAACTTGATTACATCTGCAAAGACCCTATTTCCAAATAAGGTCACAGTCAGAGGGAGTGATGATTAATACTTCAACATATACTTTTTGGGGATGCAGTTCAACCCACAACAGCATTCTAAAGTTCTACCGGAATACGGCCAATATACTTACTTAATCCTGTTTAACATACTGGGGACCTTTTCAATTTGGATATGTACATGTGTCTTAAGTTCAAGGAAGTTGTCTTCTATTGTTTTCTTAATAATTTCTTCTCTCACATTGTATTTGCTGTTTCTTTCTGGAACTTATATTTGTTAGATGTTTAAATTCCTGGGTTGACCCTCTTTATTTCACGATCTCTGTGTTTTATTCTCCGTTTTGATATTTTATGCTTAATTTTTAGAAGATTCCTTGACTTCCTTTCCAGATTACCAACTGTGTTTCTATCAATTATTTTTCAGCCAGTTTTTCACATATTTATGTATGCAATCACATTTTAATTTCTAAGATGTCATTCTTCTTTCTGACTTTCTAATTTTTTGGATGCAGTATATTTTCAAATTCTCTGAGGACAATACTTAGGATTATTTAAATATTTTTTGCTTTTCCTTGAGTCATCCCTGTTTTCACTGGGATTAGTTATTCTTAATGGTATTGGTTTTCCTTGTGATCCTTGGTGGTGTGTTTGTAGTTAGGAAAGTCCGTAATGACTGGCATAGGTTTCCACTGCAGTTTTAAAGGCCTGTTTCCTTCCTAGAATTCTTGTGTAAATGACAGGGCTGACCTGGAATTCTGTATGAGAGGCCAAAGGCTGACCAAATGACATGCAGACTTTCCTTCAGGCTGTGTGTGTGTGTGTATGTGTGCGTGCACATGTGTGCATATATGCATGTGTGTGTATAGCAGAGGTCAGGCTGGGAACACCAGTAAGTGTTAAAGTAAGGAGGGCTTTGCTCAGGAGTTGGAGAATTTAATATATTTCCTCTCTCTGCTGGTGCTGCCTCTTCTCTCTCCCCACATTCTACGTCTTTTTTTTTTTTTTTTTGAGATGGAGTCTAGCTCTGTCGCTAGGCTGCAGTGCAGTGGCGTACAACCTCCGCCTACCGGGTTTAAGCAATTCTCCTGCCTCAGCTTCCCGAGTAGCTGGGATTACAGGCACGCACCACCACACCCAGTTAATTTTTGTATTTTTAGTAGTATGTTATCCAGGATGGTCTCGATCTCCTGACCTCGTGATCCGCCCGCCTTGGCCTCCCAGAGTGCTGGGATTACCTGCGTGAGCCACCTCGCCTGGCCCACATTTTACCTCTTACTTGATCTCTGGCGTTACTTCAAGCTCCATTCTGCTTCTCTATCAAGTTCTAACGTCTTCATTTGGCATTCTCTCCAGTCAGGTATTCTACTTTCTTGAGAGAACATTTCTTCATTTCTCTGACTTTATCCTCTGGGTAAAAACTGCTTCTGCCAACTGCTCTGTCTATGCCAATCAGAGGGAGGAGGGCCTTAGCTTCCCAGCTGTTCAGCTGTTATTCTTTAATCAGTTGCCCATATCCCTGCCCAACCCTTTGTTGTGGTTGACTGCGCACCTGGAAAGACCTTTTCTAACTCTAATCTCCTGTGGGGCAGTTTCTTCTCTTCTTTCTCTGATGGACTAATCCCATCTTCATTTTGCCTTGCAAAAATGCTTCAACATTACTCCTTTCTTTGTGACAGGCATTCTCAATTTTCAGTATTGATGTGATGTAAACTTGTTAAAATATAAATTTCAGTGGATCTTGGGAAGAAAGACACATATTAAGATGTGCCCTCTTCCAATGCAGATTTTTTACACTCTTCAACTTTTTATTTCTATTCTCAGATGTTTCATCACGTACAATTTTGTGTGCACACAAGCACTACTTAAATTAATGAATGGAGTGGAAGAATTATATCATGTGTTTTATGTCTACTTTCTTATTTATGTTGGCATCTGGGAAGGTACAAATATGCTGGTTGTTATACAGCGTTTTTCTGTATTGATGCTGTATAAAGTACATTTCAAGCATGAATCATTAAGAAATCAAATAAGTTCTTGAATGTTTCATGTACCCACTTCACTAATTGGTCTTAAGAAATGAAATACATTCAGGTTAGAAGCTTTTACAGTTATATAAAACAAGTTAATGGCAGAGTTTAAAGATTTAATATTATTTCCTTTATGTTTATAAGATTGTATGGATAATGTGTAAGAAACTTTAGTCAAATTAAGAGGGAAATATTTTAAATCTTTCTTTTTCAGCAAAAAATCGTGGAATTGCCATTCCAGTGGATTTGGACGGCCAAGTTAATACTCTTTTCATGAAGAGCCATTCAAATATGGTGCAGAGAGCAGCAATGGGTTGGAGACTATCAGCTCGCTCTGGGCCACGCTTTAAGGAAGCTCTTGGAGGGCCTTCTTGGGATTACAGAAATATTATTGAAAAGTTACAGGTACATGAGAGCATGAAATAGCATTCATATTTTCTAAATTACACTTTTTAAAGAATATGTAGTCATATAAATAAAATATGGCTAAAAATATCAAGTTCTATTTGGGGACCAGGCCTTACTTTACAACTCTCTACTACCACTGCTCTTTTTAAACATATAGCTTACATATGTTGTGAGTTACTTTTTAATGAGTGTATATTAATTACTGTGTTTTGATAGTATGGTAGTGAATAGTAGGTCTTAATACCAAAATAATAATCATAATACCAATGATAACACTGGTAAAGAAACTCAATATTCATAGCCTTGCTTCAACTTATGTTTCAGTATTCCCTTCTAATCCTTTGGTCAGAACGATCCAAGCACCTTGCTCCCAAATGACTTGTATAGTACTCACTCTTGATTTTGGCCTGGAAATTATATTAGTTTGCCAGGGCTGCTGTTACAGAATGTCACAGACTTGGTGGTTTAAACAACAGCAATTTATTTTCTCATAGTTCTGGAGGCTAGAAGTCCAAGATCAAGGTATCAGCAGGTATGCTTTCTCCTGAGGCTTCTCTCCTGGGCTTGCCGATGGCTGACTTCCTGCTGTGTCTTCAAAGGCTCTTTCCTCTGTGTTTGTACATGTCTGTGTCCTAATCCCTTCTTCTTATAAGGATACCAGTTATGTTGGATTAGGGCCTGCTCATATGAACTCATTTTTTCTTAATTACACTTTTGAAAACCCTAGCTCTAAATAGAGTCACATTCTGAGGTACTGTGAGTTAGGCCTTCAACATACGAAATCCAGGGGAGTTATAATACAGCCCATAACAGACATCTTCCCATTCACATAATTAGTAGTAGCACATTACATGGAGTTGAATTGGGATATAATTTGAAGAAGTTTTTTTTTTTTTTTCCTACAAAATGGCCAAGACATTAACTGAAATAAATATTATGAGAAGTCACATGTAGATGAGTGTTATATGGGGTTGGAAACACAAGTTAGATTCAGAGTATGAGAAACCTAAAGGGTGTGAGACATTAAAAATTTGGGGGAAAATGCCATTATAAGTGGTTCTTGATTTGTAGGATAGGGTTATCAAAAAGAGACTAGAGGAAGAGCGACTAGTGAGAAGTTACTTAAGATCTAAGCCAAGTGGTGATATGGATGAAATGAAGAAATGAGTGTTACAGATAATAATGAAGCCAGGGTCAGCAGACCTGGAGGCTCTTAGATGGAAATAGAGAGTGGGCATGAGAGGAGTTTAAGAGGCCCTGTTGATTGGAGACTAGATAGTATTATTAAGACTGTTTGTTGTAAGAGCAGAGGAGAAGAGAACGCAATAGGAGGGCAATGGAAAATGCAGTGAACTAGGGTAGCAGGCTACTGAGTATATTGGAAGTTATGTCTATATTTGAAGATAATAGTTGGAGCAAGGATAGTGGTTGGTATTGCTAAAAGAGAAAATACAGTGATAGAAAAAAAAAGAACACCCTATGCGAGGCTAAGAGTAGCAGAATGGCCCACATAAAGAGTGGGGGAAAAAAAGCACGTCAGAGAGGAGGAGGGTCAGGAGAGCAAAGGGAGTGGAACATTTCAGAGGAGAGGTATATAGTAGTGTCAACCAGCACAGAGAGGGTGTGCCTTAAACTTCTTTTAGTAAACTTCTTTTAATAGATTGATATCCATTAAGTAAGTATTTATTTAGTGAAAATTCTATACTAGCCACTCTGTGAAGTGCTAAAGAGAGAGCCATAGGGTCTATGCTCTTCTGGGACATGCATTTTAACTCATTAAATAATTGATAAATTGTTGGATAATTAAAACTACAGTGAATAAAATAGAGCAAAGTAACAACATGATGGAGAATTACTGAAAGAATGACCCTGTAATTGTGAAGTTCATTTCTACCAGGATAACAGTTTTGTTGACACCTGAATAATGAAGATGAATAATCTATTCCAAGATTTGAGTTCAGATAGTTTTATGGGAAGGAAATAGGAAATGCAAAGGTGCTTAGGCAGGAGTGAGGCTGATGGGTTTGAAGATCCAAGAAAGGCCCATTGGGGCAGGAGTTTAGTGAGTAAAGGAAGAAAATATTATGAGATAAGGGGCCAAATCATGTAGAGACTTGTATGGTGCTGTGGCTGTGCCCTGAGTGTTTGTGTCCTCCCCCACCCCAAATTCATATGCTGAAATTCTGACCCCCATGGTGATAGTATTAGGAGGTAAGGTCTTCTGGGAGTTGAGATTAGAGTCCCTATAAAATAAGCCCATGCAAACTCATTCAGCCCTTCCACCATGTGAGGACACAGCAAGAGAGGCACCGTCTATGAACCAGAAAGTGCATCCTCACTAGACAACAAATCTGCTGGTGCCTGATCTTGGACTTCCCAGCCTCCAGAACTACAAGAAATGATTTCTGTTGCTTATAAGCTACTCAGTTTATGGTATTTTGTTATAGCAGCCTGAACAGATTAAGGCGCATATTAAGGCATTTTAATTGTATTCTATGTGTGATGACAAGTCATTGAAGATTTTCAGCAGAGGAGGGGCTGACTTGGTTTACTTTTTAAAAGATCACTGTGAATTCTAAGCGTATTTCTAAGATCCAGACATGGAAGCAGTGTATCTAGTTATGTAGCTTTGCATTAATTCAGGCAAAAGGTGATGGTAGCTTGGCTTAAGGAGGTTGCAATAGTAATGCAGAGAAGTGTATTAATTTTGTGTATATTTAGTTGTAGAACTAATAGAACTTGGTGGAGGAATCGATTGATGTGTTGTAGGATAATGAAAAGAAGAATCAAGGATGACTCTGGTTTTGATATGATATGGTTGTGTTATTTACTAAGATAGGAAGTAATGGGAGAGAAAGAGGTTGGGGCTGAGTTGAAATTAGCAGTTCTATTTGGGGAATTTTAAAGTTGAGATGCCTATTTAGGTACCTGAGTGTGTCAACTTGGCTGTTTGATATATGAGTCTGAAGTGGAAAGATGTCCATGCTGGAAATATAAATGTGGGAGTTCCAACATATAGATGATATTAAAACCATAGAATTGGACGAGATTTTTCAGAAGAAAGTGTAGATATCAAAGAGAAAAGGAGCAGGAGCTATCAGGAGTTGATGAAGAAATAGTAAGGACATAGGTGGAAAATAAAGTGTGATGTCATAGACGTCAAGAGCAGAAAGTGTTTCAAAGAGCAGAAACCAGTGTGTAAAATGCTTAGCAGTGATTAAGATGAAGACAAGCAAGTAAACCACCGAGTTTGGGTGATGATCACAGCTAACTCGTGCTCAGTAGTAAAGATTACTAGTATTTATAGGGAATAAGTGGCTAGTGTGTGTTAGAGGATGTTCTATGCACTTACCTTTAATCCTTGCAGCAAGCTTATGTGATTGTTAGTATCATCCTATGCTTTCACATGGGGAAACAATGACCTAGGGAGGTTGCATAGTTGCCTCATGACCAAAATTAGAGTTAAAGACAGAATTCATATCATAGCAGCCTGAGCACTATTTCTTTAGTAGATGAAACAAAGAAGAGGTAATCTAAACAACAGGGACATTTAATTAAATATGGTCATATTTGATAAACATACTCTCCCCACTTTTATATAATATCTAGTTTTCCCCTTTATGCTATTTCCCTTTAGTCTCTTTTAATTGTTTTCAGACATTTCTCAGAAAGCTTATTTAGAGTGGTTGAAGTAGAAATAATCACTTTTGCAGAAAGAGAAAGAGTTAAAACACGAATTAACATAATTCATAAGAAATCAAGAGGGTGACATCCCCATCTGTGCTTCTGTAGCTAAGAGTGACAATAAGCAATTGGCAATGTTCTGCTTAATAAAAATACACCATAGCTATGGGTGAATAAATTGTTCTTTTATCTAAGAAGTTTTTTTTTTCTTCTAACATAGTTTAAAAATAAAATGGGGGTGCTTTAACCATTAAAGAATGTTTGGGAAATTATAATTACCTGTGGTTCATTTTAGAAACATATCAGTTAAGATGCTTTCAGCTTTAATTAACACAGCATTCAACTAAAAGTGACTTAAATAATAAAGACCATATCATTTAACATAGCAAGAAACCTGGAACTGTGGCTCTCCTTGAGTTTGCTAATTGTAGACCTGGGCCCCTAAAACCAAAGGTCTGTAGGCATTCAGCTTAATGCTGGTCTCCCAGGGTAACATGAGGGCTGTCTTAGATTTTGGATTCACACCCTCAAGCTGCCTTGAGAGCAGTAGGTGGTTATGAAAGAACCTCCCCACCCGCAACACGTACCCCACTCTCTCAGCTGACTTCACCTGATGTCTCATTGACTGGGACTGTGTCACATAATCATGCCTAGACAGCTTGCTAGAGGTGGAAATGGGATAACCATGCCTGCCTTAGAGTAATCAACCTCGACCGTAAGCTGAGGGGGCTCATCCCCTGAGAATATTGTTGCTTGACTCAGAAATGACGTTGAGATTCTGGTAGCAAGGAAGAGGGTAAAGAAAGGCTGTTGGGTAAGTGACCAATAGGGTCTCTCAAAAAATATAATTTGAAATTCTGTTGAATGTCATTGAATCCATGTATAGTACTAATATTGCTTCAAATAATATTTCAGTGAGTTTCCCCATTGGATGAAATGATTCGTTTTGAATAACCAATGACCCATGGGAATTTATTTATTTATTTATTTATTTATTTATTTATTTATTTAATTTGAGATAGGGTTTCGCTCTGTCACCCAGGCCGGAGTGCAATGGCGCTATCTTGGGTCACTGCAACCTCCACCTCCTAGGCTCAGATGATTCTCCCACCTTAGCCTCCTGAGTAGCTGGGACCACAGGCGCACATCACCAAGCCCAGCTGATTTTTGTATTTTTAGTAGAGACAGGGTTTCACCATGTTGACCAGGCTGGTCCCCAAATCCTGGCCTCATGCAATCCACCTGCCTTGGCCTCCCAAAGTACTGGGATTACATGCATGAGGCACTGCACCTGGCTGGAAATCTTTTTTTTTTTTTTTTTTTTTTAAGCTGTTCCCTGGGTATGCCCCTAATTTATTGCAATGTAATGAGTACCTGTCATGTTTCCATTATAATCCTAGGCACTGCAGGGCACATACAGTGGCCTAACTGACTTTTCCTCTTATAGGTGTATATCCTTAGAAATAACTACCTGTCCCTCCCTTATCTTGTAAATGACACACACACATGCACACACACACACACACACGCACAAATAGAGACTCAGGCAGTATTCAGACATAAAACCAGACTATAATCATGGTACAGACATGTGGTGCTATGGAAATAGAGGGGGTAATCTATAAAATTCCCATTAGTATTCTTAGGCTTGTCTTATCTTCGAAAGATGAAATCTTACTTAGGCCTTCACGTGGGTTCTCCTGTGTTTCATTCCCTAGGATGTAGTGGCCTCCTTGGAGCACCAGTTCAGCCCAATGATGCAGGCTGAATTCTCAGTGTTGGTTGATGTATTGTACAGTCCAGAGCTGCTGTTCCCTGAGGGAAGCGATGCAAGAATAAGATGTGGCGCTTTCATGTCAAAGTAAGTGGATCCAATCTGAGATTCTGCTAGTGTCGTCAAACTGAGATGGCCTCTAACATTGCCGCTTTACACTTCACTGATATAAAATGACAGTCCACAAAGTATGTGAAAGGTCTAAAATCCATGTTAAAATATACTGCCAGAATAATTAAATTGAGTCACTTGAAATTTTATTTTGGTGAAGGTCAAGTTATCATATTTTACTAAATTTACTGAAAATAAAGTGTGTCATTATGGGGCACAAAGGATCATGCAAAATAATATTTTGGTCCTAATTCCTTTCCATAATTATATTTTGTGACCTTTTAAAAAATTCTTGTTTAAAGTCACTTATTTTCATTAACATAGGGAGAAAGGAAAAGGAGCTAGCATTTATTGAGGTCTTAATACTGTCATATGTTTTTAACTATTATTTTATCTAATCTGCATAAACACCCAGAGACTGAGAGGTCAGCCTGATTCAGAGAGGAGATTGCTGAGGACCAGGTGTGCTTCAGGTGCAGGGTTAGTAAGACTCAGACCCAGCACGTGGCCATGCTGCCTGGATGATCCTCATCTGCAGCTCTGTCGTTTACTGATGTTTCTCAGCGTTTGTGGTATTGCAGATCTATTATAGCTGATATGTTTACCCTAGAGAATCTTCATCTTAATGGTAAGTGAAAAATTCTCAAGGGAGATGTGCACAAGGAGAAGCAGTTGTGAGAAAAAGCATAACTAGCTCCAGAAAGAAGAGACTTGTCTTTATGTGGAGGGCACGTTATTGAGGGAGATCTGCAGGTCGTCACATGTAGACCCTGGATGACCAGTCAGAAAGAGGGTGCTTGGTCTTCCTGGGAGGAGTACCTGGATGGAGAGTCAGTGAGATGAGCTTGCCAAGCCCCTTGACCATGACCCATCCCAGCTAATTCCTGTATGGTAGAGGGTATTGCTGAAAGAGATCTGGAAACCTCTTCTATCATCTGTGATGTATCGAGGCAGAGCTTGAAGGACTAGGGCACACAAGAAGTGTGTTCCTTTCTTTCACCATTTAAGGTGGGACCTTGGGAGTGAAAACAAGGCATGGGATGAGAAAAACTGACTACAGGGATCATGTTGAAGAATAGGTGGGGTTTTTATACTATGGCCAGAATCAGGTATTTTTGGCTTTAGACTCATCGTGTCTTAGGGAGATTGGGAAGAATGTATTTGTCCGGACACCTGCCAGTCTTGCGAGTAAGGATTTTAAAGTGAAGAGGCTCCAAGTGTACAACGGATGACTGCTGAGAACATTAGAAAGAAAATTGTAAGTGGAGGTATTGCCTAGTAATTCACTATAAAAATAGGGTGTTGAGCACAGTTCACTATTCAGATGATGGGTACGTTGAAAGCCCAGACTTCACCACTACACATATATGCATGTGAGAACTCTGCACCTGTACCCATTACAGATCTAAACATAAGAACTAAATGAAAAAAAAAAAAAGGAAAGATAATAGGATCTTTGATAAATACCCTTCACCTCCTATGAATATATGTCAATATATGGAATATGGGTTAAAAATTAGGCGATAAACCTGTTAAGTTCAGTAAATTAATGTAATATAATAGCTATATCCCCGAGTTGTGACAGCCTGGAACAGGGGTTGGCAAGCTCTGGCCCTCAGGCTAAATTGGTCCTGCTACTCATTTCTGTAAATAAAGTTTTACTGAAACACAGTGGTGCTCATTCATTTCTGGATTGTCTGTGGCTGCTTTCATGCCACTGTGGCAGAATCAGCTAGTTGCCACAGAGACTGTGTACCCCACAAAGCCTAAAATATTTACTATCTGATCCTTTAGGTTTCCTGACTCCTTGTCGAGAACTGGGGTGCCAATATGGTAGCTACTAGCCACACATGGTTATTTAAGTTATTGTTTAAATGAATTAAAATGAAATAAAAATCCACTTCCTCAGTCATGTTTGCAACATTTCAAGCGCTCAGTAGCCACATGTGGCTAATGGCTACCAAATTTGGCAGCACAAATATGGAACATGTGTATTATTGCAGAGAGTTCTGTTAGCACTGGTCTAGGACTTGGAGATATTGGTCTATGAGAAAGTGATAGGAAGTAACTCATGATGTCAAGTAAATATTGAGCTGTGCTGCAGATGGAGACAAGCCTGTGACACCATTAGGTAACCTGAAAGGAGAGAAGCAGAAGTGATATGATAATAGGAATACATTGCAGATCCTACACCCACATGAAGGAAAATGATGTTGTGTTTACATGAGTGATTCTAGAAGAGATTTTTGTGCTATTGCAATTGTATTACAGCCAGAGCCTCAGGAGTGTCTATTTTCTGCCTTAGTGCTCACCCTACTCCTTCCCCAACTCTGTAAAAAAACCAAGGGTTTCCTTTGTAAGAATATCTTACAAAATTAGAATCTGACTTTATGAATAGCCAGGGGTCTTCTTTTTTTTTTTTTTTTTGAGATGGAGTCTTGCTCTGTCACCCAGGCTGGAGTACAGTGGTGCAATCTTGGCTCACTGCAAGCTCCACCTCCCAGGTTCACGCCAATCTTCTGCCTCAGCCTCCTGAGTAGCTGGGACTACAGGCACCCGCCACCACACCCAGCTAATTTTTTGTGTTTTTTTATAGATGGGGTTTCACTGTGTTAGCCAGGATGGTCTCTATCTCCTGACCTTGTGATCTGCCTGCCTCGGCCTCCCAAAGTGTTGGGATTACAGGCGTGAGCCACCGTGCCTGGCTACCAGGGGTCTTGTATTGCTGTGCATACTATCCTGGTAAAGCTTAGCTGGAGAATATAAATTTAGGGGCAAGCGCTAAGTAGGGCTTCCTACTTTCTCTAATGAATCTAATTCTTGGAATCTTTTGACTCAGATGAGTCTGGAGGAGAATATGAGGATAGACTCCAGGACAGGGGTCTACTTAACACATAGAGTGAAAGAGAAGAGAATAGGTCAATGACACTGTTAACCTTTAAGACAGCTGATTAGAGTCCATTCAAATCAACACCTACTCCTTCCTTGTGAAGGAGAATCTCAGTGTTTTTCAAACTGTGGGGTGTGCTCCATTTATAGATTTTTAAACTGACTTAGGTGGAGGCAACCAGCAAATTTAAAAAATGAATTAGAGAAGATACAAATTATCAGAGTGCATCTCATAGTGAGGGTGACATTAGTGTGAGTTTACACACACACTCCCACACAGGTACTTCTTTACTGGGTGGTTTTGTGAAATATAGATGGAAATAATATTTGAAAGTCACCGACCTAACTCAACCAAACATTATGTGAATACCTTTTATAAATCTGTAGCAAGTGGTCATTCAACCTTATGGTTATTTTCAATATGGTTAATGAATTAAATCCTTTATCTAAGGAAGAGTTAAAGAAAATGGAAATACTTAGCCTGAGAGAGCAAAAAACAAAATCAAAAGAAATTTTTTGTGTCCACCAAAACTGTTTTCACATATTTAAATACTATTATGTGAATGTATATACCTACTATGTATCCACAAAAATTAAAAATTAGAAAAAGACTATTGTGTGAAAGAAAGAATTAAATAGTAGAAGTTTTAGAAAGGCAGGCTTCATTTTCCTTGCCAGGAGAACTTTTGAAATTCTTCTGCCTGCTAGGCCTGACCTAGACTCAACATGTCTAAAAGGACATCGGTGTTACTTTCATTGTGTGTTTGCTACTTCTTCACCATGGAACAGTGTCATTTTAAAGTGTCACCATTGGGCTGGGTGTGGTGGCTCACACTTCTAATCCCAACACTTTGGGAGGCTGAAGCAGGGGGATCCCTTGAGTTTGAAACCAGCCTGGGCCACAAAGCAAGACCCTATCTCTGCAAAAAGTAAAAAAAATTAGCCAGGCATGGTGGCTATACCTGCGGTCCCAGCTACTCGGGAGGCTGAGGTGGGAGGATAGCTTGAGCCTAGGAGGTCTAGGCTGCAATGAGCTATGATCACATCACTGCACTTCAGCCTGGGTGACAGAGACCCTGTCTCATTAAACAAATTTTAAAAATTGAAAAAAAACTGATCACCATCCACGTATTAGCCTAGTCTCTACATTTCAGGGGCCTCTGATCTGCCCTGCTTCCTCTTCCACTTCCCACATGTCATCATTTACAAGTCTCTGCTGTGGGTCTTCTCTGTTGCTTCCTATGTCCTCACCCGACCTCTGCCACTGCTCTCTTGCCTTGCTCCGTCTCCTCTGCTTCATCTTTCCTGCTGCCCTCGTTGGTCTCTTTCTCACAGTGGGAAGAGGCATTTAGGTCCTTTAGAACAGTGGTTCCCTATTTTCTCTAGAAAACATTCAAGACTCTTGAGGTTAATATTCCAGTCCCTTCTTTCCAAACCACATCTCTTACACTTTCCTTTTCCAGGTCTTTAAGTGTCAGCGGGCAATTGGCATGCTTCTCATTTCCTGGACATGCCGGCCAGGTTTCTGCTTCTGCCCTGTGTTCATACCATTCCCTTTGCAGGGATGTCTTCTCTCCCGAGCTTTCCTTGACAGGTGACATCTTCGTTAGTTGCATGCTATCTCTTCGCTGAAACCTTCTTTGATCAGCCCTAGGTAACTACCCCCAGCAGAATGAAGTGGTTTCATGTGTGGTTCACAGCATTTGCCAATGCCTCTGTTGTGGCACTTGCTCATTCAGGGGGCTGTGTGCAGCCTAGCATGTGTGGGGACTCTGCACAAGACCCCTGAGACTCAGGAGATCAATGACCTGAGTCCTGTCACCACAGAGTTGTTCTTAAGAATTTGGGCTCTGAGGTCAGATGGACCTGAGTGCATTTGCGGGTCTCGCCACTTAACAATTTATGTAACCAGAGGTAAGTTGCTGTATCTCCCTGGGCCTCTGTTATGTCATGAGCAAAATTAGTCTGAACCTGTCTCATGGGCTTGGTGTGAGGATAAATTAGGAGAGTCCCTGGGCTGTCCTTACACTTGACCCTGACACCTGATAAGCACTTGCTAGCCATTAACCAGTGAAAGTTCACTTTTTCCCCAGGGTTATGTCCCACAGTACTCATGTTATGTCACTGAAATTGGATCATTTGAGGAAGACATCTCACAGGGTCATTTTGAGGATCAGCTTTTTAACAACATGAGCTATATATGCTATATATATAGCTATATAAGCTCAATTCTGATAATGAAAATTTATTTGCTTTTAAGTTCTTGGGGATGGTGATCCTGAAACTCTTCTAACAGAGCACCAGTGCATAGTGTACCACTTGATTAAAATGATGGGAGTTTTTGCCCAAATTACACCAAAGCTGGTAAATGGATAGTTTGTCTTGATGTCACTTTTTTTGTTTTGTTTTTTGCTTTTAATAAAAAAACTGCTTGTTTCTACCAAACCCTGGCAGTGAAAAATAGCATATTATTATGAATGGAAACTGGAAAGCAGCCTGTTATATTAAGATTGCAGAGTTGTATACAGCCACTGCTACTGTATGCTTAATGTAATACAGTACATAAAAATAATATAGTATAACATAACATAATAAAATGTAATATATAAATATTTATATTTCTGTACTAATACATTTGTTTTAGTTCATATATTGGGGTGATAATATTAGTATTTCATTGTTTCTCAAGAGTATTGTATCCCACTAAAAGAATGCCACCTGAGTAAGTTTGAGAAGCCCTGAGATATACTACCTGTAAAACAAAAATAATGTGTTGTAATACAAAATTTATAAGCTGAAGTGTAATCTTAAAACTTTTGAAAACATGTAACTGGTTTACTTCATATTCTCAAATAATGGTGTGATTTTTTTCCCCTACAGCCTTTGATGTTTGTATATAGCTTGAAGAGAAATCACTGTCTTTCTAAAGGTTTAATGTTTTGCTTTAAGGTTGATTAATCATACAAAGAAACTAATGGAGAAAGAAGAAAAACTGTGCATTAAAATTCTTCAGACATTACGAGAAATGTTAGAGAAGAAAGACAGCTTTGTGGAAGAGGTATTGTTTTAAAAAAAATTCATTATTTAAAAATAAAGTAGGATTTCCACAATACTGGAACCTATGAATTACAGTAAGCTATTACATACCTACTTGCATTGTATTTTAATGGTGCATGTACTTAGATGAATTATGTGATTTGAATTTTTATGGTATTCATCTCTCATGCCTTGTTTTAAATTGGGAAATAACCAAAATTAGAGTGGCCTAGATATTTGTTTTGTTTTATTATATTCTTGGATCTGTGTTTTTTCCTCTTACGGCTTTAGTGGACCAAATGACCTTTTTAAACAATGAGCAACTGAAATGCATTATTTAGATTTTGTGTAAAGTTCTGCTGCATATTGAGAATGTCTGCATTTGGGCATATGTTGACTTTTTATTATGAATATATATTCATGTTATTTTTTATAATATTCTGCCAGGTATTATAAAATAATACTATTTTAGTAAATGGAATAGTCAGTTTCTATTCTTAACTATATTAACTTGAGATTCACAAATGATTTTCAGGGAAATATCAACCTATAGATAATAATTGTCAATCTGTTATTAAAAATGACAGCTCAGGTGCTCATTAAGAGATAGCTAGCAGCATGTTTAATACCCGAGGTGATACACTTAAATAGAAAATATAAATCTAGAGAATTTTTTTTTGCTAGCTATCTGTACTTTTATGTTAGATATTAAACAAAATTTGTACCACATTCCTCAATAACTTTTTGGTCTGTTTCGGTAAATACTAATCATCTGATGTTTTACAACTGGAAGGATTTTATTTACTACTTTATGTATATGCTAAATTCCAGAAAGATTATAGTGGTTGGGTTTTTTAAAGTGCATTCCCAAAAAATGCAATGGAAACTTAGATATTAATAGAAAGAGCATTGCTTCAAAATATTCCATGTGAATCAATGTTTGTTTCAGCAATCAAAATGCCTTCTACTTTGCATTAGTTCTCTGCATCACTTAAATTATATTTGGAAAACAAGTGATCAAAATAAAGGTGGTCAATGCAATTTTAGCAAATGTTTCTCTAAGATAGGACTCAAAAACACGCTTCTATATTTAAAAAATGATAAAGAGAATTCCTTGGGACTTACTGTTGTCTTTCTCTTAAAATATTGCTGTAGATTGTGTGATATTGACTGAAGTACCAGATTCTGAAGTAGAAAAATGAGGTCAATATACTTTTCTGGCAGAGGATGAGGTTCACAATAAAAATGACTTGTACTTAACAGGAGATACATGACAAGTCTTCCATTTTTATGTAACAGATTTTTATGAATCACTCCAAAGGAAAATCGGAAAGAAATCAGGTTAAGATTTTACTTTGGCTAGTCAAAAGTATTTTTGTGTGTCTCCCAAACCACTCTAAAATAAATCACTTATTTTCTCCTTTCCATTCCCACTGCTACCAGTAGTTCAGGCTTTTATTATCTCCTGTCGAGAAAATTCCAGGAGTGCAATTTCCTGAAACAGAACTGCCCCCTTGGGCGGAGGCAGAGCCGCTATTTTCCTAACTCCAAGGGTCCCCATTTATGCAAGATGTGATGTAAAGGACACCCCCAGCAGACAGCCCTCATGGAAGAGTTGAGATGAGAAAGGCTAATTGCAAGTTCTTCATTCAGTCACCCAACACATATGTTGTAAGCAAACTATTAAATGGTGATTATTGTGCCTGGGAACTGGTGATACTGAGATGAATGACACAGCTTGCCAAGGGCCATGAATGAGTACAATTCCTGTGCTAGTGGACTCCCTTAATAATAGTGTAGGGAAGAGATCACTAGAGCCCTTCAGAAACCGTCAGGGGCTCTGCACAGCGCCAGTGTTCCAGGCCCACCATTTGTCCTCTCTACTCCCCCATATGTCTTCATCCATTAGCCTCCAGAAATCTGTGCTACTCAATGTACCTGTAAGGTACCGCAGGCTTTTCCTGCCCTGAGCTTTGCTTCATCAGGAATCACAGATTGCAAAAAATCCAATCAAGCCTCAATGCCGCCAGCTATCTTTGTAGAAGAGCTACTGGGTAGTAGTTATCAGTTGTTCTAGCAAGTAGTGATTACTTTCTCAATAGAATTACCAAAATACCTCATGCTGCTATTTTAGGACACTTTAGGCTGTATCCGGATATTTAGTCCAAGCTCCTTATTTTATAGATGATGCCACAGAGTCCCAGAGAGGTGATGTGATTTGACTGAGGTTACACAGCAAGAGCTAGAACCAGAGTTTAAATAGGAACTCCTTCCTCTCTGTCTCATCTTCTTACTCCTTTGGTCATAGCCAAGTTTTACAAATGTTTTGCATTGCTGTTAAGAAAGGTTAGTATACTTTGTCTAGCAGGTTTATGGCTCCGAATTTTAAGACATAGGAAGACAGAATATAAAACAGAATAACATCCAAAATAGGTAAAGATTCAGATAAACTTTTAAGAAAATAGTAAAGATGGGGGAAATGAAGTCATTTAAGAAAGAAAAACCTGATTTCATTTTTTTATGGCTGAATAAAATTCCATTGCATATATATCCATCACATTTTCTTGACCCATTCATCCGTCGAGGGACATGTGGGTTGATTCCATATCTTTGCTGTGGTGAATAATGTTGCAGTAAACAGGCGAGTGCAGGTATCCCTTTGATATGTTGATTTCTTTTCCTTGGATAGACACTCAGTAGTGGGAATGCTGAATCCAATGGTAATTCTGTTTTTCGTTTTTTGAGAAGTCTGTGTACTGTTTTTCATAGTGGCTCTACTAGTTCCATTCCCACCAGCAAGGTTTGAGTTTCCTTTTCTCCACATCCTCATCAACGTCTGTTATTTTTTTTTGGGGGGGGGGGTCTTTTTAATAATAGCCATTCTGGCTGGGGAAAGATACTATCCTGTTGTCATTTTGAGTTGCATTTCTCTGACAATTAGTGATGTTGAGGAGTTTTTCATATGCTTATTGGCCGTTTCTCTGTCTTCCTTTGAGAAATGTCTAGTCATGTCTTTTGCCCACTTTCTAATGAGGTTACTTGCTTTTGTCCTGTTGAGTTGTTTTGAGTTTCTTGTATATTTTGGTTACTAGTCTCCTGGCAGATAAATAATTTGCAAATATTTTCTCCCATTCAACAGGTTGTCTCTTCATTTTGTTGAGTGTTTCCTCTGCTGTGCAGGAGCTTTTTAGTTTAAGATAGTCCCATTTGTCTATTTTTGTTTCTGTAGCCTGTGCTTTTCAGATCTTAGCATAAATTCTTTGCCTAGACCAATGTCCAGGAGAGTTTCCTCTAGGTTTTCTTCCAGTATTTTTACCATTTCAAGTTTTTTGTTTAAGTCTTTAATCTATTTTGAATTGCATTTTTTATATGGTGAGAGATAGGAATCCAGTTTCTTCTGCATGTGACTATCCAATTTTCCCAGTGTCATTTATTGGAGAGGGTGTTCTTTCCCCGGTATAAGTTCTTATCTGCTTTGTTGAAGATCAGTTGGCTGTAACTATATGGCTTTGTTCCTGGATTCTTCATTCAGTTACATTGGTCTGTGTGTCTATTTTTATACCAACACCGTGCTGCTTTGGTTAGTATAGTATAGCCCTGCAATATATTATAAGTTAGATAATATGATGCCTCCAGCTTTGTTCTTTTTGCTCAGGATTGCTTTGGCTATTCCAACTCTTTTTTGGTTCCATATGAGTTTTAGGATTCTTCCAAAATAATGATATCATGTCATTTGCAGCAATGTGGATGCTGTATGGAACTGAAGGTCATCTTAAGTGAAATAAGCCAAGTACAAAAAAGACAAATACGACATGTTCTCACTTATATGTGGGAGCTAACACATTTGATCATATGAAGGTAAAGTGTGGAACAGAGACTGGCAAGGGTGAGAGTGGGAGAATGAAGGGAACTGGGCTAAAGGGTGCAAACATACAGTATGACAGAAGGAATACATTCAATGCTTGATAGCAGAGTAGGGTGACTATACTTAACAAAATATATTGTACTTGAGTGATGGACACATCAAATACACTGACTTGATCACTACACATTTATATACATGTAACAAAATGTCCCATTTATCCTATAAATTTACAAAAACAAAAAAAGAAAAAGGAAAAACCTAATAAAAAGCATATGTATCTTATTTATTAATTATCCTGTTTCTTAATTTTCACGTTTACCAAGGACAGAATAAAAAAATTATAGCTAAAGCAATTCTAGCTCTTAGACAACTTTTTAATTCTAAATGTTTTGAAATGAGAAGTATTTCTATCAGTGGAAGCAGAAGACATCTCATCCTCCTCTCAGGAAATCTTAAAGAAAAGCATATTGGATCTAGAAGGATTCAAACAACCAGTCTGGGAACGAGTCGGGACTACATGATCTCTATATTTTGTCCATTGGTCCTTCTGAAACAGCTGGTGCTCAGTGATCCATGCCAGTGGAGGAGAGCTAAATGGCTCGCATCTGGGTGAAATGGCATTGGATACTAGATTCAAAAAGTAGCCAAAGATGCTATTGTGCAACTAATGGTGGGCTCTAATAACAAACTCTAATTATCAGTAGTGGGATAATAGGTGACTGTGTTTCCATGATTGTATTGTTTCCTACTGACCAAAAACTTCATGGCGTGTAAAACCACACAAATTTATTATCTTACAGGTTTGAAAGTCAAAAGCTTAAAATCCAGCTGTGAGCAGTAGTGTGTTCCTTCTGCAGACTCTAGGGGAGAGTTCATTTCCTTGCCTTTCCTGGATTCTGGAAGCCACTTGCATTCCTTGGCTTGTGGCCCCATCCCCTATCTTTAAAGCCAGTAGTGTAATGCCTTCCAATCTCCAGTCCCTGTTTCCCCCGCCTCCCCGCTCCCACAATTGTCACATCTCCTCCTTCTCTGATGCTCCTGCCTCCTTCCTATAAGAACACTTGTGATTACATTGGAACCACCTGGATAATCCGGTATAATTTTCCCATCTCAAGAGCCTTAACTCAAATCACACCTGCCAAATCCCTTTTGCTATG